AATGTTTGCAAATCGTAATTTCTTCATGTCCTTGACTGACTGGTAAATTAAGATAAAATATAAAAAAACCGAGAAAACTGAAAAAGGGAAACCTCAGGAGATTGAAATCTGTGCAGCCTACCGCGGCAAATGCGTGAGGTTGCGTATACGCCGTGTTCGCCCACTCATTTCATATGCTTCGCCAGCGCTTTTCAATTACAAAGTCATAAAATTTGATTTCTCAAGCCGAAGCTTCTCCGCATTCAATTTTTGGCCCCGTCCCCGCTTATTTATGGCACACTCGCATGTGTTATCCTTGCAGCATTTTTGCCATTTGCCAAGTGCCCGATGTAATTTCAACCTGACACATCACACGAGGGACACGTCGTCTCGAGAGCTCACGAAATTGCTGTAAATGGATGCGAGTTAAAAAGCCAGCAATTTTAAATTGCCGCTGTCGACATTGGCGCCCCTTTTCGGGGCTCTTCGGTTGGGTTTGGGAAAAGGGGAAAAAAAACGGGCTTTCGAGGGCTGAATTCTTGCGCACTTGATGTTTATGTGTCAAGCTGCTTTTGGTTTACATTGCCTTACACTTTTTCTGCTCGGCGTTGGCATGGTTGTAAATAATGAATGCGTTGATTTCGAATCATATATTTATGCCAGCGCGCTTACACCGAGCAACAAAATGCGGGAAGCAATCAGGTTGGAGAAGCTGTAATCTAATTTGACTTTTAATACAAAAATAAAATAGAAGAAATGAAAAACATTTTTCAGATTTTTGTTGCTATAAAAATAATCTTTATGGCTAATCTCGACAAATAGTAAAAAGTGCAATAAAGTGCAATTGTAAAATCAACAAATTTTATTAGAAAACTTGTGAAACTATAAACAAACACAACAATTATTTTAAAAAACATTAAAATATTTTACTATTGAAAATAAAGTAGAAATCACTTATTAAGGTGTCTAAAATTATGCAGTATTATTTTAAAAACATTTCCTTTGTGCAGACATTTGAATCCTTTATTTTCCCTAAATGAAAAGTTAAATTGTGTTTCCCCAGGCATCTGTAGAGCAGTCTGTGAATTTCAGACGAACAAAATTCAATGTCATGTGGGGCAATCCTTTTAAATGGAATATCAAATATCGTGCACGGGCTATCCTTTCGTTCCACACTCCTCCCAAAGTCAAGGTCAGACCGACAGAGCATCATAAAAGTGAGTGGAAAGTGGAAAATGTGAGCGGATCATTGTTTGCCATTAATTTTGTTCGAGAGTGTTGAACAACAGTTCGTGTAAATGTAAAATGCCTGGCATATGTAGGCATTTCGGGCTGAGGATGTTTGTTTATTTGTGTGCATAATAAAATTTGTTCACAAAACATGTGTAGAAGCGGCGAAAAAGAGAGAGAAAACAAAAACATTTGCTTATCTTTAGGACTTGGCATCCGTCTCGGTCTGACATTTTCACTGGTGTTTCATTTTTGATAATGTTTTTGCATTTAAAGTTTACGTGGGCGTATGAGTGATATGATTTGCATATAAGGAAGCGGCATACTCCGTGTGTGCGATGTAATAAAGCATTGAATTTTACATAAATTGCGGGTACGGCCTGTCTTCTTTTCCGTTTCCTGTTGGAAAACATTACAAAATACGCTTTGCTTTCCCCATTTTCCATTCTCCACATTTACATATTTTCGGAGCTGCGCCTTATAGTCTTTTGTTATTTTCATTTGATTATTTATGGTCTAAAGACCCATATGAGGACCCGAAAAAGAAAGAACATCGATGATTCCCCGCCAAAGGAATTTATGTTCCCTACATAAATGGCCGCTTTGTCAAGTCAACATTTGTTGTTGCCATTTTATAGCTCATTCTGTTGTTGTCGGTTGTTTTTTTCGCACAATTTATTGGTTTTAAAATTATTTCTCTGGCGCGCTGTGACATCATCATAAAAAAAATGCCATTTCGCATTTATTTACGGAAATATTTTCAGTTAAAGTGTCGCCTTTGTCCTTGTTCATTGTCCATTGTCCTGCCGCCCCTTTTCTGGGCGTAACTATGCAGCTGCTAATTGTTGGCAAATTTCCAACTTGTTGGCCTTCTTGTCGAAAAACACGTACTAGTCTGGGGTTTCAATCAATGTAATGGCTCACCACCAGGCCAATTGCAGTTGCAGTTGCAATCGATTTGATTTCTCGCTCGGCTCACAGAAGAACCCATTTAATCCCAGTTTCAGATACAAAGCAAAGGACATCTGATGCTGATGCTTTAATCTAATGCAATCTAATCCGGTTTGGGGGGAAAATGCAGCAGAAGGCAGCTGCATCGCAACAAAGTGCATCTAGCATCCACTGGCACCAACAATTTTCCACTCAATATACTTGTGCTGACTTTTATGAGAATGCCAATGCCGGACAAACGTGGGCTGCCTTGGCTCATGATCCCTAGCAACTCAGTAACCCAGCATCACAGCATCCCTGCAAGTGAGTCATAAAATCTTTTTATATGGCTGCCGGGATAACTTTGTCTCTTAGCCGCCACTAATTGAATTGTTTTCCAAGGGCCGAGAGTGCTCTGCAGAATGCATTTACTGCTTTGCAATAATGCCAAAATTAAATTCCTCGTAGGGCTAAGTATATGCAGTAAACGTAAAATAAAAATCTATGGAACATGAATGGCAAAGATCTGAAAAGTTATCACTATGGACGGCAGTCCATGTAGTGACGAAGCGCACCAGGAGAGTGTGCGAAGGCGACTACTATATATACACGAAGAAATGAAAATCTGCTGTGATAGTCCGATCGTAATGAGTAATACACCAATCGAAAGGTATTTCAAAAACTTAAAGGATTGCATACCAAGACTTTAAGAAAATCAATTGGCTTGGGAGAGAGAGCGGTGAAAGTGAAAAAGTGCAAATTTCGAAATTTGGAGCTGTTGGGGCCGGTGGGGATAAATGCCCCCTCGCAATGTTTTAGTTGTATTCCTTTTGAAAATACCCGTCGAATGAGGTGTCATTTGTCAAAATCCGACGCTCCGTTCAAAAGTTATAGCCAAAATAAGATTTTCTTCTTCTTCCCAAAATGAAAATATAATTCTGTTTGTCAGTTTGTCCACTTGTCCAAAATATGTTTTTTAAGTTCTGAAAATTTGATATGACGTTCATCACATCGATATAAAAAACTTTTGTTCTCCCACTTTTGAAAAACCCGCTAGTTTAGCGGGAAAACAGCTATAAATAGCTAAAATTCGGAAAGCCGTAACTTCTATATTACTAAAGCTACAGATCTGTGCTCCATCTCGTTTGAAAGGTATTTTTAAATGCTATAAACGCCTTTTATATGCAATTTGTGTAAATGTAATAGTTAAAAAGATATGAACAAAAGAAAATTTGTTTAAACTTTTTTTTTAGCTTTTTTTTAATTTTCTCAAAAACGGCTCTAACGATTTTCTTTACAACCTTAAATTGTATAGCCCTTGAGATTCCTTAAATTTTGGTATATATCAAGTTTATGTAAAAAATCGCGTTTAAAAGTTATTCAGAAACGAAAATAGCCACTTTTGCCAGCTCAGAACAACTAACGCTCCCTGAGTATTGAATTTTGTGGGAGGGTATCCGAACTGTATTTTAGGGTCATGGAATCAGTAAATTTGCACTTAAGAGTTCCATATAGGAATCTTTTGTTCTACGACTTTTGGAAAAAGCCGCTACTTTAGCGAGAAAAAGCTAAAAATAGCTAAATTTCGTTAGTTTGTAAGTTCTACACTACTAAAGGTACAGACATGTGCTATACCTCGTTTAAAAGGTATTTTGAAATACTTCAACGCCTTTTTAACTTAATTTGTTAAAATACAATAGTTTAAAAATTATGATTGACCAATTTAAATTTAAATGTATATATTAGCTCCTATGAGAGCAAATGTAAACAAACAAAAACTTCTGATATCAAATAAAAACACCTCTTAACGAGGTAAAAAACTAGTGACGACCGCACCAACATACAAAAGTTCTGATATCAACATTTGTGACGAAAAATTATTACACTCGTCATTAAATAGACTTTCTAATCTTTTCTCATTCGTCACGCTGCAATAGAAAATGCCTGTAAAGGGAAAAAGGCTGGAATAGTTTGCTAGGGCGGGCCGAATGAGAAAAGATTAGAAAGTCTATTTAATGACGAGTGTAATAATTTTTCGTCACAAATGTTGATATCAGAACTTTTGTATGTTGGTGCGGTCGTCACTAGTTTTTTACCTCGTTAAGAGGTGTTTTTATTTGATAAGAATTTAGGGGAACAAAATGCAAATTTATCTATAAAAAATATGAAAATGTAAATAAAATAAATATCATTATGGACGGCAGTCCATGTAGTGACGAAGCGCACCAGGAGAGTGTGCGAAGGCGACTACTATATATACACGAAGAAATGAAAATCTGCTGTGATAGTCCGATCGTAATGAGTAATACACCAATCGAAAGGTATTTCAAAAACTTAAAGGATTGCATACCAAGACTTTAAGAAAATCAATTGGCTTGGGAGAGAGAGCGGTGAAAGTGAAAAAGTGCAAATTTCGAAATTTGGAGCTGTTGGGGCCGGTGGGGATAAATGCCCCCTCGCAATGTTTTAGTTGTATTTATTACACTCGTCATTAAATAGACTTTCTAATCTTTTCTCATTCGTCACGCTGCAATAGAAAATGCCTGTAAAGGGAAAAAGGCTGGAATAGTTTGCTAGGGCGGGCCGAATGAGAAAAGATTAGAAAGTCTATTTAATGACGAGTGTAATAATTTTTCGTCACAAATGTTGATATCAGAACTTTTGTATGTTGGTGCGGTCGTCACTAGTTTTTTACCTCGTTAAGAGGTGTTTTTATTTGATAAAATATCAAAAGAATTCCTTTATATTATTATTTAATTTAATATTCTTCAGATATAATATGCATAAATAATTGTAATTTTTTTCTTATTCCTTTCCTTAGACATTTCTATCTATACGCTTATGTTGGCTGAAAGACTCACCTACCTGCTATCTCTTTCGCCGCCTCTCTGTCCGTCTCTTTCTTCGGCTTAGCGCTCAGCGGACGCCTTTAACGCGTTTCTGCAATGAATGAGATAAGTGATGAGGTGTGTGTAAGTAATTAAAGAACCTTAACGCATAATGGGAGTTAAGCGTGTGTATTAAGAGCTGGTGTTGGTGTTGCCACCTTAGTTGGTGTGTGTGTGTATGTGTCAGGTGCTCCATCAAATCGCGAGACATAAGAGAGTTTCGCCATAGAATTTCCCACGACAGCCCCACCACCACCGCATCTCAGCCTTTAACCACGCGAGATTTTGTTTTTATGTAAATATAATAAGCCCCTGCGTCTGCCGGCGACGGCATCAATCATACGCCATGTTGTGCTGCGTTGAACGGTGGCTAAACAGGCGGAAACGCTAAAACGAGCGCTACTCACTCACACAAACGCAGGGAAAACCCAGGGAAAACTCATGCCAAACCCACGCCAATTGCAAAATTGAAAATTTATCGTCTAGAACACACGCACACTAAACCACAACATGAACAGCGGGCGCTAACAAGAAATTGTCAGCAACAAATTTAGCCGGCAACAGCAACAGTAACTGCACAGCAGCAACACATCGCCGCACAGCAGCAACATCAACGACAGCGGCAACAGCAACATCAACCTGCCATTCCATGAACCTTCAACTAAGTTGAGCTGTTGCATGCGCTTCATCAACGTCATGCTTAGCCGCATTCGAGACATTGTAGGCATTGCATTTGCAACTGAGTGCAACAGAGCAACAGAGCAGAGCAGATATTGCTGGCAGGAAAAGGGAAAAAGGGTAAGGGTGATGGAAATAGAAAGGGGTGAATGGGCGGTGGAGTGCACACCCCATAAAAATTCCAAACATGCAGCCACTGGGAACCTCAATCACTCCATTCGCAGTGACTTTGTTTGCTCTATTCTGCATTTAGATGAACACACACAAAAAACAAAGTATAAATCATGAATCCATACCAATAAGTTATAATAACTTCGGATTAAGTAAAGCAAACAAAGGGCATCTATAATATAATATTTTAAATAATAGGCATGTTTCGAAATAAAGTCTGAAAAATATAATTTATTTAATTTATTTTCATAGAATATTTATTCTGTTCTATTAATTCTATTTAAAAAAATTAAAAGTTACTGCACATTCTATTTTTCAAAATAATTAATTTAATCCGATTCGGTGCTCTTATAATTCTCCATCGGGTCATTTAAAATGTGAAAAATAAGGATTTAAAATATTTATTTGGAAACTCTGTTATCAAATATTAAAATAGTCAAATATTAGCTTATATTATCTTGTGCCTGAATTTAAATATTAATATTTAAATATTAAATAAAACTAATATTGCCAGGTTTTCCCTCAGTGCAGCTCTGCGGTGGCTCAGTTGAATGACAAATTTATTTGGCCAGAACTCCAGGACAAGCACGATTCCCGAATGACTTTTATGAGATCTGACTATTCAGCAAGGGAATTGGCTTACGTTCTGCGATGTGATGTGCTTTGTGGCCCTTGTACGTAGTGCATTCAGAACAAGTTAGATGGCTAATTTATGAATGCAGCTGCATTTAAAATCCAATTACCTACGCCGAGGCACCCAAGGTAACAAGAAAATATAAATTACAAACCATAATAGAAGAGATTCCAAGGGCGCACAAAAACGAATCCCACAATGCATTTGCATGCGACGTTAAGTGTGAATGCGAAAAAACAAAAGCGGAGCTAGGAAAAACCTAGGAAAACCCATGGAAAAGAAAAGCGAGACAGCCAGAGAGAGAGAGCGACATGTGTGTGTGTTTTTCTGACACTGGATAAAGATAATCAACTTCCGTCATCAGGCGAAATGCGGCATGGCGGCAACAGCTCGACAGTTTTTAATTCAGTTTACGCTCCGTGTGCTGCGTTATGGAAGTGTTGGCCGTGCACTGAGAGAAATGGGGTTAAGTAAAGAGTAAACTTAGTTTGTAGAAAAACGGAGTTACTTCACAAAAATGTCGATGGTTAAAGAAAATAAAAATATATTGTAGCATACTTGTAGACACCTTTATAGAAAAAATTCAACGTTCCAAAAAAAAATTGTTTTTTTCCTTTACATTTAAATATTGATAAATTTATATTATTATTCTCTTTTACAAAAAACTGATTGAAAATATTTAAAGCTGACCTGTTTATTGATCTTAATTCTGGAAAATAAATTTGCTTTCAAATCCTTTGTTTTTCTTTCAGTGTTCGTGCGGGAAAGCGCATTATTTGCACTCAGCTGGAAATGACTCGCTTTGCGGTTCTTGCACTTACACTTGCCATTCTGTCGTGCACTCACATGCGCTATTTGCCGAGCTTCTGCCAAGATTTTTAATTAAGTTAATGAAGTGCATCGTGTGGTTTTTGGCCACATTTAGGAGCATTGCCAAGCAGTCGCATTTCCCGCGCTTATCCAGTCACAGTCTCCCGTTTTAATAAGAACATTAGGGCAAATCCGCCGCACTCAACACATTGCATTTACTTACCCCGACGGCCACATGGAAAAGCAATAAAGGATTCTCGTCTACACTGCAAGGATAAAAGTGCGCAGATCTTCCGCCGAACTGAGAGGGGGGCTTGAAAAATGAAGCTCAGTTCCGAAACTTCCGGTTGCTGGCGAAAGTAAACATTACATATTTATGACGCTGCACAAAAAATGCAATCAAAAACGTGAGAAAAGTTTCTATTGCATATTTATGTGCGCACTGAGCGGAAAGCGCATCAAAGGAGAAAAAAAGCTACGAAAATATGGCACAGAAATTCTGAGCTGGCTTTGTAATGCTCTTACTGGGCATTAAAACAAGCTGATTATATTTCCAGCTAACTTTTTATATTTCTCCGCGAGATTTCATGAGAAATATGTTTTTCCACAGAAATGATACATGAACAAATATATTGTAGACATTATTTCTAGAATATTTACTTGTTAAAGTGGTTTAAATTTACAGGTAATCTGTCATATCAAACCGCTAATTTAAGAAACAAAGGTTTGAAATTTAAATTCGCATAAAAATCATAATTATTAACAATTAGTCAACAGACTTCTTTTAATTAACATAAATGATTATTTTTTTAAAAGTGTCAGAAAACATATTTTTTATTGCCATTCACTTTTAATGCACTTTTTTTATTAACCTGTCATTTTCACCACCATAAACCGCACTTTTAATATTTTTCAATGAACGGGGGATGCTACAAAAAATGGCTGTCAGTTCAATGGCAACACATAATTACCAACCCCTTAATAAAGCTTAGTTTCCCTTTCAAATGCAGGGCACAATAGACTCGAGCTCACTGCGAAATGTAATGAATATAAAAGTGTTGCCGGCAATGAAGGTCGGTTGGTGGGGGTTTTCGGGAGGTACAGAGCTTTGAAAAGCGCTGCACCAAAATGGTTTTCAATTTAGTTAATTTATGGCGCGCATTGTTGGCTCTGGAATATCGCACTGGCACACAATGGGCATATTTATAGCCGTTTTATTTTCCCATTTCAATGCAATTACCCAAGCCGCCTGCCAACCGAAATATATGCTTATAAATGGTGTGTTTTTGAATGTATCGAGCGGGGGACAGCTTGCCATGAAATGGCAAAATAAAAGTGCTGAGCCAAGAATATATATCTCACTGTCCATTGTGCCAGCGGACCAGCACCAGCTGTCCAAAAAGCAGCACTTATCCAATTTGAGGAGCCACAATGCCCAAGGATCCCTAGCACAGGCGGACCGTAAATTCCGGACCCGCCAGGTTGGAGGACATTAGAACACATGTCGGTGTGTTCCGCTCCTCCAGCTTTTGAAGCTCCTCCAGCGCCTGTTAAGTGCAAAGTTTTAACGCTGGTTAGCAGCTGCTAATTAGCATAAAGTTGGCTCAACTTTCGCGCCACTCTGGCACACATTCACTGGGAAAAAAGGCGTTTGAAAATCTGCTAAAAAACAGCCTGGTTCGACCTAGTTTCACATAAACTTTTTACTGGGATGGAAGCCTTAAACAAAGGGCATAGGGGAACAAGCCTGGGAAAACTGCCCCAGGCGATATTGCAAAATTTTAGATGAGGATTGGTAGATAGGAACCTAATCGATAAGAATTCCAATTTTCAAATATTTTGATCCGCTGGTTTACGAGTAATCTGCCGCAACTAAAGAACATATCACTTGATGTATCTTCCCTTCGGTGGTTTTTGAGAAAACTTTTTTGATGCCAATAATTTTTGTGTTAACCTTCAAGAATGTCAGCCAATCCTTGTATTTTTACCATTCTTATAAGCTACCAAAAATCGCGATTCAAATTTTTAAAAAATTGGTTCAAGACTTTCCAAGTCTGACAACACCGCCAGTTTTTTACAGTTTGTGTGTCCTATAACCATCTACTTCATATAAAATATTCATAATTTTTCGAGTGGTGCAACAGTGTTAAACAAACAAAAAACTGAAGAATTTATTTCTGGAAGGGTAGGAATGGAGTCAATAAAAAATATTTGGCTTGTAAATAGTTAGTTCTTAGACCAGAATTATTATCAAAGAGTAAAGTATTTAATATTATGGGTGAAAAGTGGTCCGAATTATAAAATGTTTGGCATGTATTTGCTTGTAATTGATTTAATAGGACCCAGTCCCAGTCTAGTCCCCACAGCTTCGAATTTAATATCCTCCCTAGACAGAGATTTCATAAGAAATCCTTTGAGCATGGATGACCAACAAATACTTTATTTATGTGATTCTAAAGAATTCGCGGTCCAAAGAGGATTATTTAATATGCGAGATTTCGGCACCGTTGTTATTGCGCGAATTTGTTAACAATTTGTTATCGTGCTCCGCATATTAAAGCTTTCAAATTACTATCTTGCTTTTTAGAATAACGATGGTACCGAAAGGATCGCAAATTAAATAATCCTCTTTGGACCGCGAATTCTTTAGAATCACATAAATAAAGTATTTGTTGGTCATCCATGCTCAAAGGATTTCTTATGAAATCTCTGTCTAGGGAGGATATTAAATTCGAAGCTGTGGGGACTAGACTGGGACT